ATCTGTACAAATGCTTCTTGCTAAACCAGGACCCAAAAAACCTATTAAACTTCTCAACTACATCCTCAAATCTGTTGACCGGTGTATCATTGTCCATAAAATATTGAGGGTAGTTACTCCTGCTGGTACTGTTTCTAATCAATTTATTTAATATATTCCAAGTACCTTTCATGTTATTTTTATTATCCTCTAATACTTTAGAGTAATATAGTTTCTTACATCTCCTCAAAATCTCAATTAATTTGTTCTTATATGACTTATATGTTTCTTCCGCCTTCTTTGATCTGTACTTTATGAATTCCTTATATAACGCATTCTTCTTTTTACATGCATTCTGTAATCCCTTACTCATCCACGGTTTCCCCACTGTAATTCCTCTTGTTTTTATACTGCTTACGAGGACAGTTCTTGTCATATACTTTCATGAATATATTTAAAAATTGCTCATATGCTTTGTCTAAGTCTTCCTCTTTGTAAACTGCTTCCCAGTCTTGCCCCATAAAGTCCTCTTTTAGCCTCCTTACAGCATGTTCATTCATCACCCTCCTATAAAAAAGATTTGTTTTTGGCCTTTCTTTTCTATACTGACAGTCATAAACCAAAAATACAGGTAGATGATCACTAATATCATTTATAAGTAATCCACTTGACATTTTGCTATCAATATCATTAGTAAATATATTATCTATTAGTGTTGCATGCTGGGTTGTTAATCTACTTGGTTTTGTAATGTTTGGGTATAAACTGCATCTATATAATGTGTTAATAAACTCCTCAGTTCCTGTGTGCTTGTTAGGATTTAACAAATCTATATTGAAGTCACCACATATGAACATTAATTTATTATTTATTGACGAGTAATTTTCTTCCAGCCAGTCATTAAATTTTTCTATGCTGGCTCTCGGTGCTCTATAAATACAGCTTATTACAACATTCTTCTTTTGTACATTGTAGGACAGTGAGTCATAAGTCATAAGCAAGGGGTGAAATCATAATTTAGGTTAAGTGTCATCACAATAGGAGGTGATACTGATCTTAAAATGTAAAGCTATGCAAACAATTAATGATAATGAATAATACATCCAGTGACATACAAATAATGTAAAATCTAGAAACCCTTTACTTTAGGTCCCCTTAGTTAGCATTTATAAGCAGTAAAGAAGGATTTATATATAGTTCATAACAAAATATAATTTAGTGGTAAGGAGAACACATGTTGCTGTGGGTGTGGAACCTGATGTATACACGCGCGCACACACACACACACACACACACACACACACACACACAGAATGACAACATAGTAAAACAGATAAATTATAATTGTTGACAAATACTTTAACTTAATAAAAACTTTTACACGTCTTACTATCTGCGTACATTAGCGTGTTATAAACGATTTATTAGCTAGCTAATAATTAAATGAAAAATAATGAGAGGACTTGCTTTATTAAAGTATTATACCCCTTTAATAGCTGAAAAAATAGCTCGACATGGCTAAACTTGAGAGTAGCGTTAAGTATTTTAAAATAGCCTAGCATACATTCCTCGGTGTTAGTCAGTTGCAAAACATTCAACTTCAGAAGTAATCTTAAAAGATGCAAAGCTGACCAGCTACATTTTCACAATTGAACTAACGAAACAGAGGCACACTGCCTTTGCTAATTTGTCAAATCAAGCTACAGTAGCTAGTTAGCCTTGACTGGCACCAAAATATCTAGTTAGCTTGCTAGCTAGTAAGCCTCAGAAAGATGCTTACCTTTTCAACCATCGACTGCACAACATGCAGAAACACATTAGAGAGGACTAAAGAAATGCCCACGATCAACAGTAGTACAGACAAAACTCCGGTACTGTAGATACAACATGATTTCAGTAACATATTGACACCGCAGACAGACCTGTATGCTGTTTGTTTTGATGACCAAGAAATTTGCACGATCAAGCAAAGACTCGCACATCCGGAATGAAATACTTCACAATCACACACTTCCGTTTTCGCAGACGGCCCGCTGGAACATGAAGCCGTGACGAATACACCGAATACACCACAATAATGTACACAGCCGATATAAGTTCTACAAATATAGTATGCTGAAATATTATATACAAACTGGTGATCTAATATCAGCTGATTGTTATTGTGCTCTAATATTAGCTGATTGCTGAAGCTCAAATGCAGGGAAAGTATCTATCTTGAAAATGAAGACTCTTTGTTTTCAATCACATGACAGTAAACGTGTGGGCTAATCTTTTGGTGGACCATACTGGTTTTCCATAAACCTAGGAAGAGGTCAATTTCTACAGCTTTGCCACAGTGCTGCAGAACTGGGGCGTCTGTCTGAGTGCAAGGCAACAAAAAGATATTAAGAATTGGGTAAATGTATTTCACTAAAATTACATCAAATCATATCACTTATTCATTCATTTTCTACCGCTTAATCCCTGAACGGGGTCACGGGCGGGGCGGGGGGGA